GGTTCTTGTCGAGTCCAAACAACAAATGTCACCAGCTTTCGACCATCTGGAGTCTCGATCATATCTACGAAATTATCAAGTTAGGAATAAATAGGAGAAATCATTTGAGTAATCTCAGTACTTACCGTCTAGATGATCCACGAAGACGTTTGTGAACTCCTTTCGGTCGATGCAGCCATTGCCATTCTGGTCCAAGAGGTAGAACAGCTTCTTCCATATAGTGAACATTTCCGCAGACATCACTCTCTTCGCTACCGTTTGCACTGAATTACTAACTTGCGTTTTCGTAATATTCCGTGTAGCTTTAAACCCAATACGGAGGTTTGCAGCTCCTGTCGCCTTCGATCGATCTTTTTTGTCAGTAAATGTACACCATGTAAGCCGTTCTCGAATTTCTCCAGAGGAAGGAACTAAGCAGCAAATATCAGATACAGATAGGAGATCGAGAGAGACAACGCCTAAGCAAATCTCTCCTAGCGATTTTGTCACCCCAATAAGCTGAATTTCAAGCTCAGGGATCGCAGCAGTCGTGTATTGTCTGGTGTCAAGTGGCATTCGCAATCGTTTACAGTCCAGAGTCTCGTTTGCCGTTGTAACTGTGCTGCTACTCGAATCTTGAATAAAGCATTTATAAAATGTGTTCTCCACGTGAAGAATGCGTTCAGAGTCTGAGAATGTGTAGCTCTCACTGAATTCCATGTCGAGTGTACCGATAATCGTAGGTATATAAGCGACCACCACGTGCAGATGTGCATTCACAGTCGTATCGTCAATTGTTGGTCCGTTCGACAACGGCAGCCATAGGTTATGGCTCCTCAGATTCGCATCTTCAATCATTGACGTGAGCATTATCCTGCCGCCAAGATCGGTGTCGTTTGACACCCCAATCTGCAAAGAAAAATGTAACTCGTGGCAATCTCCCAAATGGGTAAATACAAACCACTCGTTTTCCCATCTCCAGTGTTGACGGCTGCTTTGGTCGGTAGATTGTCGTGTGCGACAGTGAACAGCGAGGCTAGAATCACTCACTGAGGTATACGACAATCGTACACTGGCTCCACCGTATACTCCGAGTTTCATCAAATTTGAACTTTCGAAACCTGACGTCAGGATCATTTCGCAAACTTTAACATGAAATTTTCCCTGCGCATTGGATTGTAAGATAGGAATACTCCGTTCACAAATCTTTAAGCTCATCAAAACTGCGTCCTTGGTCGCGTTGACGTCGCCTTTATTCGACTCAACGCAAACCGGGTACCACGCAGGCTTCTTCCGGTTCACCAGCCTTTCTTTCCAATCTTTTCGTAGAGGAAGATGAACACGGCCGTAATTGTTTCCTATCAAGTCACGGATTCGTCCGACCACTATAATATTTGTGCTAGTCGAGAGTGTGGCTGCAACTATTGGGTTGCTAAGGTCGACAGCCACTCCCACTTCCGTTAGGCCGGACGGAGAGATCGAGATAACGTCTGTTGCTCCTACTGCAAGTTCCTCTGCTGACTCATCTCGATCCACCATGATACTGACGTCAATAACTACATGTTTGGATAAGCCAGAAGAGTGTTGAGTAGAACTTGAGGCCTGTAGATTCCCCCGCACTCGATGGATCACCAATTCATAAACTTCTTGTGAGGTTGACGAAACCATTTTGGGTTGTTCGCTACGCAGAAATTGCATCTCCAACGTCAGCATCCCTCGTTTATGGTAATGAGGGTCGCTGTTGTGCTTCGTTGATTCTAAAGTGAATGGCATTCCAAAAGGGACTTCGAGCTGCAGCAGATGATCTTCTTCAAGTACCGACGGGAACGTGGGCAGCGTCAAGTACCCGATCATTTGATCGTCGCTTCGTTGTTGGCTTGGGTTATCGCGTAGGATTGGTGAGACTGAATCCACCCCACGTTGATATAAAGTGATGTGAATAACGGGAGGGTCATCACTTGTTATTGGAAGAGCTAGCTGTTGATTCCATGTTACTGCACCGGTGTCGTCTCCTTGGCAGCAGCTACGCAGACATCCAATAGCATTAGTATCTAAGGTAGTCGTCGTTGTACTTGGTACCAACGAACCTGCTTTGTACTTCCTGAGATCCACAAGACATGGATACATAATAACTCGAAAGAGAGTCTGCTTTCCTGAAAACACTTCCAGCGGCTTGTAGAAGATGAATGCACACGTCACCTACAACAGCTTGAGGTGTATAATTTGAGAACTCAAGACTTGTAGACGACTTAGAGCCATTCTCTAAAGAAGTGGCTCGTAGTCTCGAGAGCACCGACACTTTTTCAAAAATGGAATCATCCTCCACACTCGATTTCTCCACAGTAAGCCGTAAATCTGCCAGTACCGGTACGTTTTGCTGTGAGAAGAAAGAGCAGAGGTTTAGACTGCCAGTCGCTATCAATACTGGAGCTACAGCTTCTTTACTCTTCTTCCTCCTCTTGGAGCTTTGTCTTCTCGTCTGCGAAGCGGATACTAGCGAAGCCCTGGACGCCATACTCTTCCGATTCTGCAGTTGAGGTTGCGCATACACAGAGATTTCAAGTACAGGAAACGATCTATCTTTCGGTGCCCAGCATATAGTAGTACTGGCATTCTCACCCACCCTGGCAAGCAGTGTACCGTTACGACTCGCAACGACCTTAGCAGCGGGTAGCTCCAATTTCCAGCTGCTTTGCGCAATACGAAGCTGGATCGAAACATTGTCACTTTCTGTAATATTTGACGGTAACGCTTGTACTTCGAGAATATCAATATCGAATTGACACTTCATCTCCATTTTCTGCACTGGATACGCTATACTACCAAGGGCGGTAGCAGCAAGTGATACACCATTTTCAGCATTGCTATCTTCAAGTACACGAGACATTTGGAGGGAAAGCAGCGCTGATCCACATTCATTGTCTTTGCCGGAAGATTCCGAGTACAAACGCACCAACTGCTCAACGGACTGACTCGGAGAGTTGCTGTCTTCCGCTGGGAGTGTCAGCGCGTGAATACAAAATTTGCCAAGTCCTATGAGTTCATTTCTCTCGTGAGTACTGTATCGATAAATTCCAACAAAAAAGATCTCCATAGCTGCATCGGCTACTTGTAGTGACGCAGATTTGGCTTCTCCATTCTCGGTAGATGATCCGCCCACCAGGAGCGGTGTAATTGTTTGGCAACGTATTTTTCCTATTGAACTGGACCAGATTCGGGCCAAACAAAGAGACTTGCTACCTTCAGTCTGGAGCTCGACTACTTTTACAGTTAAAACACTGGCTTCCGGTTGGTGCATCACCGTCGTCCACGTCCGGTCATTATCTTCTAGATCCGTCAAGAATCCACCTCTAAATTTTATTTGAAGACGCCCACCAATGCGATCTTGCTCACCGAGGAGCTGCAAACTCGACTGGTATTCCACACCGATCGATAGCTTTTTGAGCAAATATCCCAGCGCTATCCAGAGCGACAATACTCGTGTGTGCGATCTTCTCGCACGGATATCAAGAGAAAGCTGAGGTAGCGTACTGGTCGCCACGTCCGGACTGAGTTCGAATCGGAGGGTAACTGGATCGCCTTTGTCTGTTTGCAAGCGAAAGCACGTTTTATGATCGCAATGCTTCGTGTCTGTGTTAATAAATGCGGTGGCAATTGAACGTTGAGATATTCCACCGCTGAGGTGAAGTCTGCCTCGAATGTTCACTTGTCCAGCATTGGCAAACTCCCTCAGATATTCCACCTCTTCGCTAGAAACTGCGCAAATGTAGTCAAGTTTGAGCTCCACGAAGCTGCCAAGAGGAAGAGACAACGGTGTGTCGGTAGCGTGAGGCTCACAAACAGCAGAGGGCTCTTCATTAGCCAGTAAATTATGCGCGATTTCATCCTACAAGTGTTACGCATTTAATTTTACATGAGATTACGAAAGTCAATACAAAACCGCAATAACTAAATGATCTATTATATGACCTCTCGTGGCTTCTTGTCTCCTTGAACGGCGCTAACTTCTTCTCCTGTAGAGATATTTGGTGGCAGTGTAGCTGATCCAGTGTCAGAAGACTGAGAGTCCATTCACGTTTGCGGGTTTGTCTATTGACAGTCGCGCTGAAAAGGCGAAAGCGAATCCGAAATGGGCACATCTAAATGTAGTGTAGAAACAGACTTTTACGCACAGTTTTTCGTAAAGTCGTACGTGTTCAAGTAGTAGTCCCACTGCTTTTCCAGCTCCGACAACTTGCAGAACACGCGTCCACAGTCAGGAATCTCGGATTCTTTTTCGTTTACAAGAATTTGGACGTACACATCTTCGTCATTTGTTTTACTTTTAAACAAGCGAAACTCGATATTGGCTGCAAACGGGGAGAGTTTTGATGATCTGAAACCCCGTGATTTGATCTCGGCTTGTGTGAAGTTTGCCAGTAGAGGCGAGCGATCCCCATACCCCAACAACGTCATCAAAGGGAGCGTCGTCTCAGCGTGTGCGAAGAAGAAATTGCCCACCAATGAGCTACTGCCGTTCACTTTTCCTTTCATTGAATCGAAAAGTTCGCGCAGGAGTACTGCAGCCATTTCGTAGTTAAGATTGTATCCACCTCCAATCCAATAGAACTGCTCAAGGTCGTCCAGATAGTCCAACGAATGGATGAAAGTCATCGACATCAACGAGCACCAATGATGTTTGAGGTGGTAAAGTGCGATATCAAAACTGTACATATAAATAGTACTTATGTTAGTGGCTCGAGCATGGTAGAAAACTGTTAGGATGCTTACGCGCAAGCAGATTGCACGGCCATCAGGTCCTTCGGTGAGAATTCGATGCCTTCCCTCTTCAACCCAAGCGAATGTTTTAGCCAAAGCGCAATCTTCGTCATGTCATTTGAGTTTTGATATTCATGCAGTTGTTGTTGTGCTGTCTGATTCTTCTTGACATCTCGTTGGTAGCGTGCACATTGGTCGAAAAACCGCAGCAGAAGATCCTGGGGATTTAATACTCGTTAATACAAAGGCAAACATTTATCATCGCGACACTGGACCCACGCACCTCGTCCTTCGGGTACACGATATACTCGACGTCGTCTGGATTCTCAAAGAATGATTCTACAAATCTGTCCACACGAAAGAAAGAAAACACGAGCTGTAAAAAAAGTCTGGCACTACTTAAAAAAAAAAAATAACGTACGCGATAGCGGAATGTCGCGTCCTAGTGACGTAGGTGTGTCTGATGTGGTATTTTTCCTTCGAGTAATTAACAGGGTTTTCGTGGTTACTTCTCGCCAGGTTGCGAGCACCAAGTTTCCACAGCTCCTGCTTTCCTGCATCCGCAAGCTCTCCCGCCACACTTTTATTGTACGGCAGAGTGTAGTTCTTCATCCAATGCGGCAGCGAATCTTCGTAAGGCTTTAGTCGCTTTAAAAGGCCATTGATTTTCTTTATATTGCCCAAAGTTGGGTACCTATCGAGGTAGAAATAATGAAAACTTTAGTGTCAAATTCGTAACATTGTATTTTACGAAATAAAAGTATTTCCCACCGAATTCCATGGCGCGCCACGAGTTGCGTCTGAATGAGCTCAAATTCCTGTCTTCGTGGAGACTGGTCGTTGATAGGAGCAAGTACGGGGAGCGCCAATACAGTTTCCAGGACTTCGGGAGCTTTGCGTTGATCCCAATATTTGGTTTTTGTAGCGAACATGTGCTCGAACTTGTCTAACGAGGTGCCTTTTGACAGTCGAAAAATACTTAGCGTGCCTTGCAGGAACGAGCTAGGCGCCTGCATCGCCACTGCAATGTAGAGTATTGTGCACATTGCAAACATCTGAAGTACGCGTTTCATAACACGTAGAGAGAATGAGGGCAAGGAACCCGACCCAGACGCTGAGCTCCTCTTATCAGGTCACAGAAGAATTTATAAGACTGAATCAGCCAATCAAATATGTCAGTTGCTTTTTATTTAAAAATGCTTTGATTTTCTTCTCAAAAAGGCACAAGGTAAAAAGCAAATTGTGTATTGAAATTACTCAAGAGACTTGCGACTCAAAAGTTATGCATCGATATACTGTGATCAGTGGTCACTGACTATTCGTTGGTTGGCCCTGGGTACCTCCTTGTTGTACCCCCTGCTCCACTATGTGATTTGACAAATGAACCTGGTCAATTATCTCCATTTTAGTCTTCGTCATCGTACTCCAGAGTAAACTCCGGTTCGACTGTTTCGCCTTCATCGTCGTCTGCTACGACCTTGGCGTTGAAGGTCGGAGCAACAATTTGGTCTCCGTACGATTGACTACCAGAAGCAGGGGGTGGTAAAACGGGGACATTGCCTGGGACGCGGTTTCGATCTTGATCTCCGCTCGGGTACGGCGAGCCTTGATTCGCATAGGTCGACCCACTAGCAGCTCCGTACGGTGACGGAGCTGAGGTATAAGCTCCCTGGTAGCCTTGTGGGGGTGCCCCTAAGGCAGCCTGGTGATCAGGAGGGAGCCTGTGCCCATTTGGAGATGGCGCAGCGGCATTAGCATAAGACACAGATGAATCACCTCCTCTACTGCCGCGATCACCGTGTGGTTCATTATATACTTGCGGAGCTCCATAAGATCTAGCTTGAGAGGTAGGAGTGGGCGCATTAGCAGAAGGCGAGACGCCGATCAGCTCCATGCCCTGTCGCAAACTCGGCGACGGTTGCCAGCGGCTTCCACTTTGGTCACCACCATGAACAGGGGGTCTAGGCGGCGGGTATCGGGCAGACTTGTCTAATTCCTCTTCTCCGTGAGCAAAACTGATACGAGATTCACAGAAAACAGGTCCCCACAAAGGGAGTCCACCATCAGAAGTCGGTCCATTGAAATGAATAAAAAGACTAGTGATCCCGTCAATGCTACTGATCGAATAGTACCTGCATTTATCTCCAAAGCGACACATTCCCAGCGGGAAATTGTTACACAGCACAGTTTTGCGTTTACTGTCCACCATTTCAGAGCGACCGACAGCGGCAGAAGCGGTCTGTGGGTCGTGCATGTGCCTGAAACAAAACACAATACAAGGAATCAGAATCCACATCGATCCACCGACGTGAAATCATCACCGTACCAGCAACGGTCGCCAAACGTGCATCTGCCAGCTAGAAAATTGCGACAGAGCTCTCCAGAAGTCCCAGGGATGCGGTTCCCAGGGCTCCGTCGGTCATCGGACCCAGAAAATGGGGATCGTTGCATGCCACCTTGGTCGTAAGGGCTCACATTCTGTCTACTTAGGCCTCCAGATTGTGGCGATCGCGCGTTTTCATGCGACCACCCAGTGTCAGAACCATGAGAGGGGGGTGCATTTCTATTCCATTCTTCGTGTCTCGGTGGGCCTCCATGAGGAGATTGCAATAACGGGCCTTGACGAGATGAACCCGGAGGGGGTCCATACCCGGGTCTGCCACTTTCTTGATGATACGCTCCGTCTCTGTCGAGTGACGTAATTATTGGGGCTGGCCTATCGTTCGAGGACTGGTTGTCCATCTTAGATGGTCCCCATCGGGACCCGCGAGCCTTCTTTACGTCACGATCATCTAAGCCCCCAGGACGATCGGCTGGGTCTCTGCGCATGCGATTTCCGACTGGAACACCAGGTGCATCCCCCCATAATGCCGCCGACATCTCGGCGGTCATGGCGCTGATCGGTTCCTCGTCGTTCGTCATAAGCTCGGTGGTTGTATGCCGCAGTGTCTTCTCTCTGGTGTCTATCTGTTGTATCGTAGGCCTCGTCGTACGGAGGTCGTCCTGGTTGGTCACTGGCGTGGTCTTTCTCCTCCTTCTTCTGCTTGATAATAGACAGCAGTGACGCTAATTTTCCTGGCGAGGCACGGGGCGTGACATTCCCCGAGCGCTCCTCCTGGAGCATATATTCCCGTCCACCAAGGTCTTCAATCTGTCTCGGCGTGTAAATTGCGCGCTTCTGCCACTCCTCAATCACGTGCTTAACCTTAGGCTGCACATTCACAAACAAGTCAACCTTTTGATCTTTCCCATTGAGGCAGCCTGGTCTTCTCGAACCTGAAACTGTTCGGGGACTTTCTTGACCGCTGCGATTGTGTCTGACATCCGGATCAAAAATCGCTTCACGTACGCGTCCTTCGAGCCATTCTTGGTATGAGACTGTAGGAGCACCCACGTTCAGCATCAACAAATAATATATATATATGGAAAGTAAAAAGAGTACCTGTCTGATGATGGCGTCAACTGCATAAAGCCCTGTGAAAACCATATAATTAATTGAAATAGAAACAGTAAGAGCGCATTTCCATGGCAATAAGAGAATAGAGTTAAGTAAATCACACCAGCTAATCGATGCTCCACCTCTGCCTTCCACAGAAACACTTCGATGTCGTGCACCACGTGTTTGTAAAACTATACGAACATCATACAGACTCCAAGTCAAAACACGGCATTTCCCTTCGCGCAGCACATCCATCCGCACCTTTGAGTAATGCGCCGCCAACTTGGCGACGGCGCTAATACGGCTCTGCGACACACCCTTGGCAGTGGCCAATCCCTCCAGTGCCTTCTTGAGCTTCTCGAAACCTTCCCACGCGCCTGAGCGCGAGCTCTTGTGATCCTTGCGGCGGTGCTCGTGGCCCCCCATACTGTCGATCAGCCCGTGGGCTTTTCTACTGGCCAGCCAGATCTTGAAAAAATAAATATTTTAGTGTGACTTACATTTGTGTGTGGCATACACGAATAAATGAATTATATATTGTTGTCACGCTCACAACTGCGTATCATAAACGCTCCAATCTCGTCCATGTCCTCCATGAGGCCGGCCGTGTCGTTTTGTATGTTATGCATCGAGCACGCGTGAAAAATTGAATAGTAAAGCCGTTTATTCTCTTCAGCCCATTTCAAGCTAATTTTTTTTATATTCTGGGTCTCTTCATGGCAGCCATCGTGTGCACACAGCACCTTGCGCTAGAGGAAGTTATCTTCCGAGAGTATACAAACTCTCAGTGAGCGGCAGTTCACAGGTCCCCTCTTTCATTAAAGAGAGCGAAGTAACCTAAATAAGGTAGATTGTAAACTGAGTATATTTATAGGTAGGTTAAGTTTGGGTTTTATACAAACTATTAGTTACCTTTAGAAATGCAATGTCATTTAACCAATGGTTGGCTTTGAACGACCTTGGTACCTTGTACCAAATATCCCGGAGTATGACGTGTCATACTCCTGAAGTGTGAAGTGTCACACTTCATGTAGCCAGGGTACACCTAGGGCTACGTACCCCGTTACATCCTCCCCCACTTAGGTTCGGTTTACCGACCAATCAGAATGACTGGATAAAGTACTCTGGTACTGTTCTCTAGACATGGCAAGTGGTTTCTGGGTGGTTACTATGACGGATCGAGCTCGCGCGATACCCGCATTCATCACACCGTTTGGACTGTTCGAGTGGAACCGGATGCCGTTTGGATTGAAGAACGTACCCCAGATCTACCAACGCCTGATCGATAATGCCCTCGACGGATTTACCCGAATACCGGAACCCGAAAGGGGTGGATCCGGGGAAGGTCACACGGAAGTGGATCCGTGTTCGTCACGAACTCTCATTCTCAAAGTCGAAAACCATCGACTTGGCCGCGCGAGCGCGGCGGAGGCTCACTTCACAGTTAGAGCCTCGAGCAGCAACCTGTGCGCTCTTCGTCTAGGTCCCCACTTCGACCGTTATCATGCCTCGTGGCACTACAAAGAGCGGTGCTAAGACACGCTCCAAGGCTGCTGCCGGTAAGGCGCAAGCCAAGAGCACTAAGCCTCACGGCAAAGGCTCTGCACTCGAGGAGGCTACTCAGGTGGCCTCCGAGGCGATCGGTTCCTCAGGTGACGCGGCTGTGGACAAGCGCGCAAGCAAGCGCCGCAGCCCGTCGCCCTCATCTTCGGACAATCGTCCGAACCCTCGGCTCATGGACGGGAGTTCAACTCGGGTAGTGAGGACGATGTCGAGTCCGAGAGCACTCACGATGCTCCTGCGGGCTCTGTGGGAGGACACAGCCCAGTGCCCAGTGAGCACAAAGATGGCAGCGTGCAGTCGCTCGCTAGTGATCACGGTGATCACAGTCCCAGGACCTCTGTGCGCTCTGAGAGTCCGGGTCGTCAAGGCTAAGGGCGCTCTTAAAGCCGGTGCGATGAGAAGAGAATCCTCGCAAACGTCTCT